GAATGAAATCCCAACCCGGGAAGGGTCTAACTGGCCCCAACACGCTCACACGCACGCGCGGCATCCGGGAACGCGGCGCCCGGGTTTCTGTCTTCCGAGGCCCAACCAGGGTTCCAGGATTCAGGATCCTACTGTACCCAACGGGTCGAGTCCGGATTCATCTGCCTCCCTAGTCGAACTGGCGCTCTTTAGACCAGAGGCAGTGGCCGGGCCTTTCCCGCAGGACACGCGGGCCGGCGGGAGTCGGGGCAAGTGGCTCTGACCTCCCAGCATCTCCGCCTCCCGTCCCCGCACTCCCCTCCCTGCTCTCGGGCGCACGTGTCGCCCCCCGGCGCACCCTCGGACACGCACCCTCACACGGGCGGGCGGGCATCTGCGGACCCCCACTTTCCCTCCACACCCCCCTCGTTGCTCCTTTCGCAACTGTCTGGCCGACCTGAGCTACACTGAACCCTAGGAGCGGTGGCACCCCACGCCCCCAGGACGCCCGAGCCTGAAGCTGGGGGAGGGGGTGATGACAGATGGGCGAAGGGCGGGGCTTCGGGGGGAAGGGGCGGAGCCTCCCAGCATGGAGGTGCTGGCGGCTGACAGTAAGAGTGGGGCAGCAGGCGGGAGGGGTACGCGGACACTGCGGGCAGGGCCGGGGGGTCAGACGTGGCGGGAAGGAGCTCGCGCAGACACAGGGGGCTGACAGGCAGAGACACACACAGACACGGGAACTGACAGTCGCGGGGGCCAGCGGGCCGGCGGGCCGCGGCAGGCGCTCACCTGGCAGCGGCGGCGGCGGCGGCGGCGGCGCCCGCGGCCGGGCGGCTCTCACCGCGCTCCGGGCCTCTCTCCTGGCGGCCCGCCGGCCGGCCGTCGCAGGCCCGGCTGAGGCGGCGGCGACGCCGGAGCCGCAGACTGCTGAGCGGCGGGGACGCAGCTGCACTAACCGACTCCCGGCCGCTCGGCTCGGCTCGGCCGTACTCGGAGACGCTCGGCTCCGCTCGGTCCTCGCTCGGCTCAGCTGGGGGGCGTGGCCCGAGGCCCCCCGCCCAAGTCGCCTCTGGCGGCCGGTGGGCGGGGCTTCAATGCGAGCGCGAGCCCCTGACGTCCCGAGACCAGACCTTGCCCCGGGGCGCATGCGCGGGCTGCGGTCCTGCTCTGCCCCGCGTGGAACTTGAGGGGGTTGGTGAAGAAGGGGACAGGGGCGGATGCTGCGGCCCCAGAGGTTACCGGCTTTTGTATTCCATATCCTGGTCTTTCTGGAGGACCAGCTAAGGAAGGCCACACCAAGCTACACTTTGAAAAGGATGTGGGCAGGGGCCAGAGGCCGTCCCCGCCCTCTCCCCCACCCCCGTCCAGTGTTTCCCAGCTCGCGTCACCGTGGGACTCCGTCTTTCTTTCATCCCACCAACAGGCGCGTCACTGCAGTTTTGAAACTCTTCTGTTTCCTAAACAGGACATCAACTCCTCATAACTGCTTTCCTAACGTTACATTTTCAGGGACTTGAAACTTGAAAGCATCAATGAGCCCCCTCATAGAATAATGCTGGCCCTTCTTCACAGCTTCTGTTGTGTAACCTGTAACACCTGGGATGGGAGTGGGTCTTCTCCTGAGTTTCCTCACATGCTCCAGGCACCGTGTTTGTTATAGAGCCCAAGTCTGCAGCACATGTGCTCAGGAAGTGGTCCCCACCTTTAGGATCTAGTGATTAATAAACAGCAAGAGCTCTGCAGCCTGACTAACTGGGTTGGAATCCCAGATCTGCATTATACCAGCAGATGAATAGTTGGTAGAGTGACTTGGGACGTGCTACTTAATCTCTCCTCCGTAAAGGAGCTATGAAAATATTAGTACCGAAGCCAATAGGAATGGTTGAAAGGATTAAATAACAGCACAGGTAAAGTTTTCCACACAGTGCCTGTTGTTGAATAAGTAAGGCTGGCTTTAACTTTAGTTTACTTACAATTTTCAGAGCCTGAAAACCAGTCGACATATACGAAGGTGGGCCAAAGTAGTGAGTATGCAAAAATTTATTTTTGTATTATGTATTTTTCTATATGAACTGTAAACCTACTTTTGCCCCCCCCACACACACAAGGGCTGAGCAATATGTCAAACTTGACATGTACAATGCCAAACTGAAAACTGCTCCTCAACTTGCTCCTTTCACAGTCTTCCCCACCTCAATGAAATGTCAATTCCTCCTCCTGGTGGCTCAGGACAAACCATTGGAATCATCCTTGACTGGTCTCTAGTATCACATTCCACACGCAATCTAGCAGCAAAGCTTGTCAGCTCTCCCTACAGTACCCTCATCTTCTCTTTCCTGGAGTATTGCAATAACCTGCTACCTGCTCTCCCTGAATTCATTCTGCTCTCATGGCTGCTTGTTCTCAAGCAGCCAGAGGGATTCTGTTGAAACCTAAGTCAAAACATACTTCTCCTCTAAAGCCTTCAATGGCTTCCCACCTCACTCAGAGCAAAAACCAAAGTCTTTTTTTCAAGGACCTTCAAGATTCTATGTGACTGCACCCCTCCACTCCCCAGCACTCTGTGTCTCCATCCAATCCACCCCCTCACTCCATTCCAGCCACACTAGCCTCCTTCCTGCTCCTAGAACATGCAGGCCACTTTCACCTCAGGACCTTTGCCCTTGGTATTTCTTCCCCCCAAGATATCAAAAAGGCATGTATCCTTACTCCAAATATCTACTCAAAAGTCATCTCCCCAGGCAGGCTGGTGTGGCTGAGTTGGCTGAATCCCCCTGCACCAAGAGCTCATGGGTTCGATTCCTGGTCAGAGCACATGTCCCAGTTTTGGGCTCAATCCCCAGTAAGAGGCCTGCAGGAGGCAGCCGATAAGTGTTTCTCTTTCTTAGATGTTTCTATTTCTCTCCCTCTCCCTTCCTTTCTCTCTAAAATCAATTAAAAATATATATATATATATATAAATCAACTCCCCAGAAAGACCTCCCAGACCACTCTACTAAAATATCAAGTCCCAACCCCCATCACTCTCTCTTTCCTCATCCTGCTTTATTTTTCCTCATGGCCCTTATGACCTGAATATCATCTGTAATGTCCCAAGGGCAGGAACTTTGTGTTCCAGCATCTGGAGCATGGCCTGACATGACCTGAATATCATCTGTAATGTCCCAAGGGCACGAACTTTATATTCCAGCATCTGCAACATGGCCTGACATGCTCAAGCACTCGATAAATATTTGTTGAATGAAAGTATATATGGAATGTGTTGTTCCAAAGGACTCCATTTACTCAACCAGCTTATCTGAGCATGTGCTCTGACCCAGGCCCTGTGGGATGCAGAGGTAAAGGAGGCACTCTCCCGACCACTGAGAACTCAGTATTTTGGAGGAGACAGACATGTAAAGAAGCGCTTCTGGAAGAAAGTATGTCATGCTCTATGGATATGCCCACTGCTTTGGGAAGTAGAGAGAAGGACATAATTAATACTACATAAGAGAGTGTGGAAAGGCTTCCCAGAGGAGGTGACATTAGGCTGGTTCTAAAGAGATGAGGAGGAGGAGACTCCAGGCAGAGGAAACAGCATGCACGTAAAACCAGTGTTGGGAGGTTTGTCACAAATCTCGTTTACCCAAGGAGGCAAATTATTATTTTTTAAATAATTTAAGAAGATTCCAGGTGGTTCCTATAATGTCACCTGCACTCACTCACATTCTGATGAGCTTTCTCAAGCGGGAAAGAAACTGTCAGAAGTATAGTTGATGCAATAGAGTTACAACCTGAGCTCCATTTTATTGGAGTGAGCTACACCTGTGACTTTTTTTTTAAGGTCAGGGTCCAGAGGCAAAGAGCATGTATCATGAGATGTTTACTGGCTGCAAGTACCAGTTACCGATCAGGCCAGTTTAAGGAAAATAAAAGGAGAACTTAAAGCTTAGGGTGGGGGCAGGAGGGTGGTTCTCTCAGGCCAAGGGCAAGAACCCAGCTGGACTTCTGAATGAATTAGAAGCAGAGCAAGGGTTACCAGTAGGACCATCTCTCTGCAAACTTGTTTTCTCTGATTCATGATAATAAAATGGACATATGTCTGCCAGCCACTCCCAAGTACATGACAATTCCAGAGAGAGACTAAAAATCCCTAATTGTTCCAATTTCCAAATCCCAGAAAAGAGGCTCTCATTGCCCCAACTTGAGTCAGGTGCCCCCTCCTAGTTCACCAGGAACCCACCCCTGTGGATCAGGACCACAAAAAAGGAATTGTTTGGGGTTGAGGAGATATCTTAATAGAACTCCCTCATAGAACCATTAATTTCACATATTGGAAAAACATCTGGGAGACATTTGATTGTGACACAGGAGATGATTATTGAGTTTCTGATTTCTGCTTAGTAGGGAGGCCTCTATAGGCAGCAATCAAAGCAGGAAGTTGTTCTTTTCCCAACAAAAAGTGGACAGAAACTGGGGTGGTCTCCATAAGTCCTCTGTAGTGGGTATTCTGATGGCCTCCTGTGGTAGTTGACATTAATGCCAGCCACCAAAGATTTTAGGGTTCGCTTGTGAGACACCTGTTAGGATTGTACTTCTTTACATCTGGGAGTCAGGAGTGGCCATGTCACTTACTTTTATGATGGTCAATAAAGTATGAGTAGAAGTATATCACTCCTGGATCCACATTTTAGGAGCTAGCAGGCTATTTTTTGTTTTCTCTTTCCCTCAGTAACAGCAAAAGACAATGCTTGAGATAGTTGTAGTTCCATCAGCCTAGGTCCTGGAGTGAGAAAACGTGGAATAATGCCCCTAGATGACCCACAGTGGATATGTAGTATTAGCAAGAAATAAACCTTTGCTATTATAAAAAAAAATTCGTGCTTGTTTGTTATCACAGCAAAACCCAGCCTATCCTGAGAGATGCATCTTCCTAACATCCAGTCTATCTCACCCCCCATTGTACAGCAAGACAATCTGAGTGGGAGGGACCCTCATCTCCCACATGGGTGTGGACCCTAAGCCAGTTGAAGTAATCTCATGCATCTTGTATTGGTTGCTCCAGGGATAGCCCTCTTACCCTGGCCTACATCTATCAGTACCCAATATTCACCTCTTTGTAATAGTTGCATAAAACCTCCACTGTCTCCCTGGATGTCAGCAAGGAGCGATTTGCTGCTGGCAGCTACTTTGTGACCAGGAAGAGAGTCAGCCTAACGATGACACCAATGCATGGAAAAGGAAAGGGCAGATGAACTGAAGAGAAACAGAGCTGGGGTGCTGATCAAGGCTTACCTGAATCCATCTACCCAATAAAGTTACGTAAGTCAATAAATTCCCTTTAGCATTGATTCTCATTTGACTTGGATTCTCTTATACTTGAAACCAAAAGCATTCCAACTGTGACTGTTCACTGCATACTTCTGAGTAGTAGCCAGTGCCATTAACTCACAGGTGGGAAAGGGTCTGAGCTATGAACAAGTGCAGGAAGAGAAGCTGAAAATTCTACCTGATTTATATGCCAGTTCCTTATCAAGAATGAGTATCACGACGCAGGCACAGCACAGAGAAGGACCAGGATGAGGCCTGATGTCAGAGCCTGTCTTCTGCTAGCACTCACAGCTGGGGTTCTGCTGCCTCTATGGGCAGCCCAGCCCAGGACCCCCGTCCTAACACAGGGTGGGACCTGGAATCACATCTTATTTTCTAAACATGCAGTTTCTGCTGGACCAGAGACGAGTTTGAATGTCCATGAGCTCTCCAAGCTCAAGGCATTGTCTGTCCCCACCCACTGCTCTCCAATAAATATGTATTGTGCACCTACCATGTCCCTGACCCTCTGTTAGGTTCTGGATATGCAACAGTGAATAAAACCAGAGACCTTCATGGAGCTTACAGCCTAATAAGTAGGGCAGACATTGGTCAAATAATCAACAACATAAATCTTACATGGTGCCGGGTACCATGAGATCTGGGGGGGTGGGGGGTGGAAACCTTGGAAAATTTAATACCAGCAAGCCTGTACTACCAGATTTTCAAGTCAAAGAAAAACAATTCTAGGTGGAAACACAGAACTATAGGACAAAATGAAGATCACAGGAAACAGTATATATGTGGATAAATATGAAAACTACTTTAACTTTAAAATAATTACTATTTAAAGCAATAACAATGTATTTTGAGATTTGTAACATGTAAAAGTAAACAATATGACAGAAATATAGAAGGTAGAAGCAATAAAGAGAATTATACTGTTATGAGGTTCTTACATTGTTGGGAAAATTGTAAAATACTAATTCAAGTTATGCTGCAATAAGTAAGGGTGTATATCATAATCTCTAAAGTAAGCATTAAAAATATAAAAATGGTTTATCTAACATTCCAGTGGAAAAGAAATTGAAAGCAAGGCTTCAAAGAGATATTTATACACTCATGTCCATAGCAACATTATTCAAAATAGCCAAAATGTGGAAGCAGCTCAAATGTCCATCAATAGACGAATGAAAAAACAAAATGTAACATACTCATACAGTGGAATATTATTCAGCCTTTAAAGGAAGAAAGTTCTGACATATACTACAACATAGATGAACTTTAAAGACGTGAAGCTAAGTGAAATCAGTCACACACACAAAATAAAAATAAGTGAGTCACAAAATACAAATACCCTATCACTCCATTTATATGAATTACAGGCATACCTCAGAGATATTATGGGTTCAGTTTCCGACCACCATGATAAAGTGAATATAGCAATGAATTTTTTTGGTTTCCCAGTTCATATAAAAGTTATGTTTACACTATCCTGTAGCCTATTAAGTGTGCAATAGCATTACATCTAAAAAAAAACCAATGTATATATCTTAATTTAAAAATACTTTATTGCTAAAAACAATGCTAACCATTATCTGAGATTTCAATGAGTCCATCTTTTTGCTTGTGGAGGGTCTTTTAATTTGTAAAAAAAAAAAAAAAGCAATATCTGCAAAGCACAATAAAGCATAGTGAAATAAAGCAAGGTATACCTATATCTAAAGTAGTCAAATTCATAGAAACAAAGAATAAAATGGTGGTTGCCAGGGGCTGGGATGGGGGGAGGAATGGGCAGTTTTTGTTGAATGGAGATAGAGTCTCAGTTGTGCTAGCTAGATGAAAAGTATTCTGGAGACCGACTGCACTGAAGTGGGAGTTACTTAAAGCTAGTGAACTGTACACTTAAAATGGCTACAATGGCACATTTTGTTATGTGTATTTTATTTTTTTATGCTTTTATTGACTTGAGAGAGAGAGAAAGGGAGAGGGGGAGAGAGAGAAACATCCATGAGAGAGAGAAACATCAGTTGGCTAGCTCCTGCACACTCCTTACTGGGGATTGAGCCCACAACCTGAGCATGTGCCCCCCACTGGGAATCAAACTGGTGACCTCTAAGTGTATAGGACAACACTCATCCAACTGAGCCACATTGGCCAGGGTTTGTTATGTGTATTTTACAACAGTTTTTTAGAAAAATTAAATGGAGCCCTAGACAGTTTGGCTCAGTGGATAGAAGACTGAAGGGTCATGGGTTTGATTCCTGGTCAAGAGCAAGCACTTTGGTTGCAGGCTCAATCCCCGCCCCGAATGGGGTGCATTAGAGAGGCAACCAATTCATGTGTCCCTCTCACATCGCTGTTTCCCTCTCTCTGTCTCTCCCCTCTCTTCCACTCTCTCTAAAAATCAAAGGAAAAAATATCCTTGGGTGAGGATCAACAAAACAAAACAAAATCAAATGGAAAAGATAAAATGAAACAATAATATATCCAAAAGAAGTGAGAAAAACAGGAACAAACACCAGGTAGTACAAATAAAAGACAAATAAGATTATAGCGGTAAATGATTTGGAACCATACCTGTAATTATGTTAAATGTAAGTGGACTAAATACTTAATAAAAAGAAAAAGTATGACAGGCTGAATTACACAAACAAACAAAAAGACTCAACTATGCAAAATTTATAAGAAACACACTTTAAGGACATATAGGTTGAAAAATTAAAAATGGAAATATAGCTAACATTTAAATAAGAATATTACCTACCTTATACAAATTCTATAAGAAAATAAGGGAACAATTCCCAATTTATTTTATAAGGTCAGCATAATCCTACTACCAAAACCTGGCAAGAATATGACAAGAGAAAATACCACAGTCTAGTATCTTTCATGATCATAAATACAACAACCTTAAACAAAATGTTAGCAAATCAAATACAGCATAAATAAAAAGGATAATAAATAAAAACCAAGTGGAGTTTGTCCCAGAAATGCAAATCCGTTTAACATTTTAAAATCAACCAAACACTTTAACATAATAAAATAAAAAAATAATTTTTAAAAATATATAGTTTATTGATTTTTTACAGAGAGGAAGGGAGAGGGATACAGAGTTAGAAACATTGATGAGAGAGAAACATCGATTCAGCTGCCTCTTGCACTAGGGATGTGCCAGCAACCCAGGTTCATGCCCTTGACCGGAATCGAACCTGGGACCCTTCAGTCCGCAGGCCGACACTCTATCCGCTGAGCCAAACCGGTTAGGGCTAAAAAAATAATTTGATCATCTGAATAGATGATTTAAAAAAGTACTTGCTAAAATTCAATACCTATTCACGATCAAAAACGTTTAGCAACCTAGGAATAGAACTTCCTCAATTTGATACAGGAAATATAGGGGGGAAAAACAAAAATACCAAAGCTGGAGTTAACATCGTCCTTAATGGTAAAATATTGAACACTTTACTCCCTAAGGTCAGAACAGAGCAAGGATATCAGCTGTCACCACCTCTAATCAACATTTTACTCTATGTCCTAGCCAGGACTGTAAGGCAAGAAAAAAAAAGTCATAAAGATAAGAAAAAAAAGTAAAACTGTCTTTATTCAAAGATAACATGATAGTGGAGATAGGAAATCCTAAGAAATCTTAAACTTTTAGGACCAATAAATGACCATCTTAGACTGGCTGCTATCATGAAATACCACAAACGGGGTCTTATCAACAATAAAAATGTATTTCTCACAGTTCTGGAGGCTGGAAGTCTGAGATCGGGGTGCCACATGGTTGGGTTCTGATGAAGGCCCTCTTCTGGGTTGCCAATTCAATACTATCCCAAAATCAACCTTATTTCTGTCGTCCAGCAAATGTCAGAAAATAGTTTTTAAAGAGAATAGTCAAAATAGTTTTGAAATAACAATAACAAAAAATGCCAAGTACAGACAAACCTCAAACAATTCACTTCTCGACCCGACAATCCTTTCATGCTGATACCTGTATGATCAATCATGCATGTCTCAGGCAACAACAAAGGGGAGAATGCACAGGTATGAGTCAGTTTACCGCTAAACCTTATGTTGTTAGCATCTCAAGAAATTGTGCTGTGAATATTTTTGTGGGCTTTTTTCCCCTTTGTTGCTGATTATTGTTAAATTTTCATTTTTTAATACATTTCATTTTCTTTCTTTAAAATATATTTTTATTGATTTCAGAGAGGAAGGGAGAGGGAGAGAGAGATAGAAACATCAATGATGAGAGAGAATCATTGATTGGCTGCCTCCGCATGCCCCCTACTAGGGATCAAGTCACAACCTGGGCATGTGCCCTGACTGGCAATTAAACCTTGACCTCCTGGTTCATAAGTCAATGCTCAACCACTGAGCCATGCCAGCTGGGCCGGTTGAACTTTATAAAAACTGAACATTAGTTGTTAAATATCTGTTCATTTTAATACACATAGATCTACTTCACACTTGGAGAGAAGGGTAATGCATATATTTATTATCTTGATTGTGGTGATGGTTTCATGGGTATCTGCACGGTGTGGGGAGCAGGCCTAAGCCATCAGTAGGACATCCCCTGAGGACTCCTGGACTGTGAGAGGGCACAGGCTGGGCTGAGGGACCGCCCCCTGCTCCAGTGCAGGAATTTTTGTGCACCGGGCCTCTAGCCATAAATAACCTCCTCCTTGTCATCATGTGTCTAAGCAAACTTTCTTCAACATACAGTTCAAGGAATGAGGTTGCTGAACATCATGCCCGAGTCAAGTTTCCCCGTGCAGCCCACTGCCCGAGGGTCCCAGTCTCTTCACCTGAGTTTCTGACCCTTTCCTGCTGCAACAAGACAGAGGGCAAGGACTTAGGTCCATGGCATCCCCCTTCAATTTGGTAGCATCCTCATGGTTGCTGACAATGAATTCTTCAGGCACATGGCTGTGGCCATTCCGCAAGTGTGTAACAAATGAAATGTCTTTATTTTTTACTTGTTTTTTTGTCCTGTTTTGAGGGACGGATGCAGGTTAGAGAAAGGAGCTCTATAGCCTGTCTTTCAGGGCACGCCCTGGCGGCCTTCAAAGGTCCACCTACAGGAGGGAGCTGGGCCTCAGGGCTCAGCCAGGGTTTGAAGCAGCCAGGAATGCAGCGACCCAGCTGGTCGCTCAGGAACACCTCAGTGAGCAAGGCTGCGGGGAAGGAAGTCATTACACAGACAGCTGGGCTGCAAAAAACAAAAATACTCCACACACCAAACTCTACAAAG